CCTCTCTTCCCATCAGCCGGTAGCTCCACTGTCCACTCAAGTCCTCCGTGGCCACGCCACTGACTCTGGGTCCAAGAGTCCCCAGGTCTCCTTACACTGCTTGCCAACCAGGTCCCCAACTGAGTCCACAGAAGCCTACCGAACATCGTAGGGCTTAGCTTGCCGCTTCATTGCTGCTTTTACCCCACTTCCCCCTATCGGTGATGTGTGTGGTCACCAATCAGAGCATGTATTTCCGTTGAGTCTTAGTCTTGGAAGGGGGTTTGCATTGAGGGGACCCGACCACTTGCCTTGATGTTTCCTGGGGTGCTGCCCAATGTTCTTAAACTTATTTTTCATGTATTGTTTCCTTGTAAAAATTACTGTTGTTTAAGGAAGAAGAGTCAATACAGTTATGGTCCTCATTACTCTGTCTTGACCAGAAATGTAAGTCTGTTGTGGACTTTTATTCGTTCTTTCATAATACAGATTTGATAATAAGTTTTATCATGTACATTAAAACCTTAATGGGAGTTTGATTAGGGTTGTGCTAAATTTAGATTCATTTGAAGGGAATTGATATCTTTGTAGTAGCCTCCTATTGAATAGCATGGAGTAGTTTTCTGTTTACCCAAATGATATTTTATACCTTTTATAGAGATTTGAAAAGTACTGTATTGCAATATAGCGTCCTGGTGTGGCGCTGTGGGCTAATGCGCCTGACTGCAAAGCCGTTTGAACTGCAAGGTTGGCGATTCAAGCTCACCAATTGTTCCTAGGAAACCCTATACAGTGTTGCTATGGGTCAGAATCGACTCGACAGTACTTAACAACAACAACAACATATTGCAATATGGAAAGATTGTGTGGGTAAAATATTGAATGATATAGGAAGCATCAAAAGAAGACAGAAGGAATACTCAGAGTCACTATACCATAAAGAAAGAAAGAAAAGGTTGACATTCAACCACTTCAGGAAGTAACATACAATAGAAAACTAAAAACATTGGCAAGAACAAGGTTTCAGGAATTCATAGAAAAGCAGTTGAAATGCTTGAGGAAATGGATGAATCACTGGAGGAGCTCACTCATCTGTGCAAAGAAATCTGTGGATAACCTCCTGGCCAACTCATGCTGGTGTCTATTCCATTGAAAGGGGATCCCACAGAATAGAGGACTTACTGAATATTACTAATAGAAGGTTGTTTATTGTTGGTAAGTGCTGTCAAGTTCATAGCAACCCTGTTTGGGGCTCCCAAGTAGTGACTTCATGTTTGAATCACTGGCCTTGTGGTGTACAGGCCAGTGCTTAGCCTACAAGCACCACACCAGAACTCACAAGTAAAATTTTTGCTGAAGATAATCCACAAATGATTGCAGCAGTACATCAACAGGGAACTGCCACAAATTCAAGCCATATTCAGAAAAGGTCATGGAATCTGGACTATCATTGCTGATGTCAGATGGGTCTTGACCGAAAGCAGTATTCCCTTGACTATGGTGGTGGTGATGGTGTGCAGTAGAGTCGGTCCCGACTCATAGTGACCCTGCATAGGGAATCTTTATGGGAACAGAAAGCTTCATTTTTCTCCCACAAAACGACTGGTAGTTTTGAACTGCTAACCTTGAGATTAGCAACCTGACTCGTAATCACTATGCTACTAGGGCTCCTTTCTATTGACTATAGAGCCATTCAACTATGTGGATCAGTTAATTGTGGAAAACAAGGATAACAAAGGAAAGAATTGGAATTCCAGAAAAGGCAGTCATTTTCCTACCTAATCTGTATGCTGAGCATATAACCTCAGAAGCTGGACTGTATGAAGAAGAATGTGGCATCAGGATTGGAGGAAGGCTTATTAACAACTTGCAATATGCAGATGGCACAACTTTGCTTGATGAAAGTGAAGAGAACTTTTCAAGCGCTTACCGATGAAGATCAAAGATTATAGCTTTCAGTATGGATTGCACCTCAAGATGAGAAAATAAAAATCCTCAAAACTAGACCAAAAAGCAATATCATGATAAATGGAGAAAAGATTGAAGTTACCAAGGATTTCCTTTTACCTGAATCCACTATCAACACGCATGAAAACAGCAATCAGGAAATCAAACAACATATTGTGTTAGGCAAATCTGCAGCCAAATATTTCTTTAAACTGCTAATAAATAAATAAATAATGTCACTTTGAAGACTAAGATGTGTCTGGCCCAAGCCATGGTGTTTTTAATACAATAAAACACTGGACTGCAAACAATTTAAGTACAATAAACACTGGACTGCGAACCACAAGGTCTACGGTTCAAGGTTATGAAGATTTAAAACCTTGGAAACTCTACACAGGGTCTCCATGAGTCAGAACCCACTCAACAACACTCAATAACAACAATAAACATATAAGGGAGAACGGTGGCTCCATACAATAAGCACTGGACTACGAACCACAAGGTTCACAATTTGAGCTGGCCTGCTGCTCCTTGGGAGAAATATGAGGCTTTATGCCCCATACAGGACCATTAAACATCCATCTGCTAGAGGAATAATCAGAAATCAGAGCTTAATCTTATGGGTTCTCTTTTGTCGGTAACATTTCATTTTTCCTGAGCAGCTTTCAAGATTCTTTCCTTGTCTTTGGTTTTGGAGAGTTTGATTATGATATAAGTTGGTGATTTTCTTTGGGGATCTATCCTGCCTGGGGTTCATTCAGCTTCTTGAATTCTTATCTTTCATGATGTTAGGGAAATTTTCTTTGACTCTTTTCTGTATTTTTCTTTATTTCTTCCTGTTCTGGAATTCCAGTCATCCATAGGTTATTCCTTTTCACATTGTCCCACGTGAAGAGGCTATCTTCACATTTTTTCATTCTTTTTTCAGATTGTCCTTAGTATTGACAGATTTATCTTCAAGCTCATAATTCTGGCTTCCACTGATTCAAATCTACTCCTTTACCCTTTCAGTATATTGTCTATTTCTGATATCTTAGTATTAATCTTCTGGATTTCTGTTTTTAGATATTGTCTCCAACTCTTTATTTCATTTGATTGCTCCTGTAGCACTTTTCTGAATTCTTCCTTGTCTTGTCTTCCTCAACATTTCTGTCAATTGTTTGGAGGCAGTTAAATATCATTCTTCTGAATTCTTTGTCAGGTAGTTCCAGTGCCTTTGCTTCCTCAAGAACACTTTCTAGCTTTGTTTCTTTGAGCTACTCTGTCTTGTTTCTTCATGTGAACAAATTTTTTTCCGTTGCTCTTACCAAATTGGTGGTGTTATAGAGGGTACAGCTGTTGCTTCCCTGTATGGCCACAATTGCTGTTTCCTGTTGTATGAGTCAAGAAAAAGGAAAACCAACCAACCAACCACTAACATAGTGAAAAATGAAAGTCAACAGCTTTCTCTTCGCCAATAAGTTGTGCTGTTCTACCTACTGGCCTCTTACCTTCCCAGCACCTGAGAAAGTTCAAGATGGCCACGCAGCATCCAATGGTTCTACATATACTGCCAGGCTCCTTTTCTCCCCTCCCTCTTTTTTCTCTACCCCACGCATCCATTCAGCCATCCTCTTAGTGAAAGCGAGTCCAGGACTGGCCAGGGTCGACTTGGCAGATTTGGAGCAGGGGTTATTGTAGATAGCTCCTCCTCAAGGCCCACAACCTCCAGTGGCTTTAACCATCTGGAAGGTCAGCAGTTCAAAACTACCAGCTGCAGGAGAAAAATGAGGCTTTCTGCTCCTGTGAAGATTCACAGCCTCAGGAACCCTATACAGGGTCACTATGAATTGGAACAGACTCCACAGTACCTGATTATCTAGAAATCATAATTATTTCCCATTTTTGTTTCCCATAGTTCAATGCAAGTAGAATTGTTTTGTATTTGCTCCATTCTCCATGAGTATAGATTAACATCTGAGTATCACTGGAATGGGCATTCTGGCATGTCGCTGTAGGATAAGCACTGGACTGCAAGGTAGGTTTGAACTATGTAAAGGTCAGCGGTTCAAACTCACCAGTTGCTCCTTGGAAACCCTATACAGGGTTGCTATGAATCGGAAACAACTCAAGAGCACTTAACAATACCAACATCACCATTGGAAAGAGAGAGTTGAAAGTAAGCCTGAAAAGGCACATTTGGATCAGATGTTAATAGCAAATGATGCTTTCTCTCACTGACTCTAAGACCCTGCTATGTTTTCTGCTTGTCTTAGGACTGTTTCCTCCTTCAAGTGGAAAAGCATATATTTGTGGATTTGATATCTCAAAAGACATGCTTCATATCCGGAAAAGCTTGGGTTTGTGTCCCCAAAATGGTCTTTTGTTTGATTATTTAACAGTATATGAACACCTTTACTTCTTTGCTAGGGTAAGCCAGAGGGAATTTTTTTTGTTCCCCACTTTTCTCATAACTTTACCTCAAAATGCTTTAAAATTTCATTTTGAGAAGAACTCTTCTTTAAAGACAAAGGGATTGTGCTGGTCTTTGTGTGCTGTGTAATCTGTTGACTAATAGCGACCCCATGAAGGGTTTCCAAGGCTGTAAATCTTTACAGGTGCAGAAAGCCAGTGTCTAGTGTTACCTAGTGTTACTATAACAGAAATACCACAATTGGGTGACTTTAAAGATCAGAAATTTATTTTCTCATGGTTAAGCAGGCTGGAAGTCTAAATTCAAGGTGTGGTTCTAGAACAAGGTCCAGCCTGTCTGTTTCAGCTTCTATTCACTGGGGCAACCCTTGAGTTACTGGGCTTATAGAGGTATGTGGTTCCATCTTCTTTCTTCCTCTTCGCTATGTGTGTCTCTGTGTCTAACTTGTACTTTTTATAGCTCAGAGGTGATTATAGTGTATCGCCTCATCAATATAACAAAAGAAGATATCTATTTACAGGTACAGGGGTTAGGATTTCAGCACATATTTTGGGGGAGAGGGAAAGGCAGGCACAGTGAATTCATAACAGGAGTAAAGGAGGAAATTTCTACAAACTCCCGATACTAAAAAGTGTTAGAGTAAAAGCTTTCTGATGTGGAGATGGGCCATAGGTTGCCAGAACCCAGTCTGAATTCTTGCTTCTCTTTTTCATTTTTAGCTGAAAGGAATGCCTTGGGATTTATGTCAAAATGAAATCAATAATATCTTGACTATTTTTAAATTGCAAGATAAACAACATTCATTTCCTAACTCACTGAGTGAAGGAATGAAACGCAAGCTTTCTGTCAGTATTGCACTTGCAGGAAATCCTAAGGTATAAAAAAGAATATAATTGAGTCCCCGTTACAACCTTGTCAGAAAAAAAAAAAAAAAAAATCCCAAAATCAGAAGAGCAGCTTAGTATAAATCTAAGAGAACAGACAAACTGTTAGAAGATGAACTCCATGAGGAAGTATACCAAGCATCTCTTTGGCATGCTCTCTAGATAAGGGACTTGAAAACTACAGCATATGAGTCTGTCTGTTCTGGTAAACAAAGTTTTATTGGAACACAGTCATTTCCACACTTTCTAAGACTGATTTGGTACCACAGCAGCCAAGTAGAGTAGTTTTGATGGAAATTATCTGTTTACAATCTGGCCCTCACAGGACAAGGTTGCTGACCCCTACTCTGAATCAGTGCCTCTCAAAGTGTGGTCTACAAAGCCAACAACAACAGCATTGCCTGTTGTGCTACTGTTAGGTACCCTCAGGTCACTTCCAACCCATAGTGACCCCATGTACAACAGAACAAAACACCACCAGGTTCTGTACCATCCTCACAATTGCTGCTCTGCTTGAGCCTACTGTTGCTCCCACTGTGTCAGTCCATCTCCTTGGGAGTGTCCCCCTTTTCCACAGTTCCACCACTTTATCAAGCATGATGTCCCTCTCCAGGGACTGGCTCTTCCTGATAATAGATCCAAAGTATGACAGACAAAATCTGGCCATCTTGGCTTCTAAGGGACATTCTGGTCGTACTTCTTTCAACACAGATTTATTTGTTCTTCTAGCAGTCCATGATACCTAACAACTTGAAAAATGAAATCCTCAAGCCCCACTCAGATCTATGGAATCAGAAACTCTGGGAAAGGTACCCAGTAATCTGTTTTTAACAAGCTCTTCAAATGATTTTGGTAAACACTAAAGTTTAAGAGCCATTGTTTTTGATTAGCCTGACTTATTTTGTGTACTTAGGCAAGCAATAATGCGTACCTGGAAAGAAAACTCTAGACTAAGTCTAAGATTGCCCCACGAGTAGGCAACTTCTCCACAAACGGGATGGTACCAGTGACTCAGGCTGTATTTTGATCTGCAGGTGGTGATGCTAGATGAGCCAACTTCTGGCATGGACCTAATCTCCAGGAGAGCTACCTGGGATCTCCTGCAGCAGCGAAAACATGGCCGCACCATCGTGCTCACCACCCGTTGTATGGATGAAGCAGATCTGCTGGGTGATCGGATCGCCATCATGACCAGGGGGAGCTTGCAATGCTGTGGCTCTTCACTGTTCCTCAAACAAAAATACGGTTCTTTCCATTTCCGTATTATACCCATCCGTGACCTTTCCGTTATTTCCACTCCCAGACTTAACTTCCTTCACTACCACGTTAGCATAAAATTCCTCTGGACAAGATGCTCAGTTTCTTACTGCAATGTCTCCTTAACCAACCTTAGTTCCTGTTAGTCCCCAGTTCCAACATGCTCAGGTCATTCCTGTTACCATAAATTCATTCATGTTGTTGGTAAGTGTTGTTGAGTCAGTTCCAACTCATAGCAATCCTGCATAGGGTTTTCGAGGAGCAACTGGTGGGTTTGAACCACCAACCTTGTGGTTCACGGTCCAGTGCTGATCCAATAGCACCACTCCATCCAAATGGTTGGATGGATGGATGATGATAAAAAGAAGACAAAACATCCATTAAGGATGATGGGAAAATTCTGGAACAGACTGAACAGCATGATGACGAAAATGTCATTAAACTGGGCACATGAAGATTGTAGAAGGGAAAATGTTTGTTATCTGTATATTTACCATAATAAGAAAAAGAAAAGGCAGAACAAATAACTGTACAATGTTATTAGACCAACATTAAAATCTTTAGGATATGAGAGATTTTGCTCATTTTCATATAATATTCCAGTACAATGACAGTTTGAAAGACCAATAAGTAATTATTGTGCTCTTCAAAAACACTTGAAAACAGAGAAGGAGAGATGACGAAGAACTCAGGAATAGGCCTGCTATTTAGGTTATGTATGATCTTCCTTGGGAGACCATACTCACATACACAAACAATAAGTCATCAGTGTAAAATAGTATATGGTTAAATATCAAAATATGGTGCCATCAAGTTAGTACAACAGGTATTTAACAGTAGAGTAGTTGGGGAAAGGACTCCTGGTTTAGCGCTGTAAGATCAGCACTGGACTGTGAACCACAATGTCGGCAGTTCAAACCTACCAGCTGTTCCTCAGAAACCCTATACAGGGTCTCTATGAGTTAGAACCGACTTGATGGCATTTAACAATAGTCAACATTTATTAATAGCTCTCACAAATCTCTTTAATCTCCCATTCGTTAAGAAGCTTATCCCGTTTATTATAGGTTGGGTGGATAAAACCAGAAACTTTGAAAACAAAAACAGAAGAAAGGAGAATTGAGAGACGCTTTTGAATAACTCGGGGTCTCCATTTTCATAGTAACAAACTAAATTTCACCTGTGTTTTCTTGATTTCATCCAGTTCGTTGAGGAAGCAACAAGGCAGAGTTATATTATCCTCAGGCACCACATGAGCTCCTCCGCCATTAACATTTATTAGTTATCTCTCTTACAGCCGGGCCTAGAAACAGAAATTAAGATACAATCAGACATAAACACCCAGAAAGTAAGATCATGGCATCGTGGGTTGTATTTCCGTTGACTTCTCACTGACTGTCTTTATAGACCGAGAGGAATATTATTTGTCCAAAGTTTACAATTTATTGTACTCCTAATATTTCTGGTGTTCCGCGGGAGAAGGATGAGGCTTTCTGCTCCTGTAAAGATTTACAGCCTGAAAACCCTGTGCAGGGTCGCTATGAGTTGGAACCGACTCCACGGCACATAACCACCACCAGTATGTCTGGTAGCGTGATGGTTATGAGTCGGGCTGCTAAACTACCAGCCATTCTGTGAGACTTTCAGCTCCCGTAAAGATTTACAGCCTCGGAAACCTTATACAGGGTCACTGCAAGTCGGAACTGACTGCATGGCACATAACCATCACCACCATCACCAATATCTATGAATTTCAACAGTCTGTAATTTTAAGTATAGCTTTAACATGGATTTATGGTTCAATTTAAAATAATCCGAAAGGCATGTTGTTGTTGTTAAGTGCTGAGATAGCGACCATGTATAGGGTTTCTAAGGAGCAGCTGTGGGGCTTGAAACATCTAGTTAGCAGTCTGGTGCTTATCATACAGCTACAGGTCTGAGGAGTAGCTGGTAAGCTTGAACCACCAACGTTGCAGTTCAAAGCAACATTGCAGTCACAAGAATTAGCACAAGTAGAGAAAGGAAAAGAATGAAGCTAAGTGTAAAAAGGAAAGTGGCATTAAAAAATATAAGCTACAACAGAGTTCAAGAACAGTCAAAAGTAGTAAGAAAGGCTGCGTCTTTCATGTTGTTCTTTTGAAGTACTGTGAAGTCGGTTCCAACTAATAGCAACTCTGTATATGGTTTCCAAGGAACGGCTGAGGGGTTTGAATCACTGACCATCTGGTTAGCACTCCGGTGCTTATCCTACAGCTCCACACCAGGACTATTTCAGAGGTGGGGACAAATGAGTAACCAAGTCACAGAAGACTTCCTCTGGACATAGAACCACAGATCTTATTAATACCTGAAAACCTGGCAGAACAAAATAATATATCTTTATCCATACCAAAGAGCAGTTGCCTCTGTTCTGTAATGAGACATTTGGCAACTCTAGATTAACATGTCTTTATTGTCGGGAGTAACCCCTCATCTGTCAGTTTGTCACACTGTGGTGGCTTGTGTGTTGCTGTGATGCTGGAAGCTATGCCACCGGTATTCTGAATGTTGGCTGGGTCACCCATGGTGAACAGGTTTTAGCTGAGCTTTCCAGACTAAAACTGACTAGGAAGAAGAAAAGGCAGATTACTTCTGAATGTTTAGCCACTGAAAATTTTATGAGTAGCAATGAAACAATGTCACATCGCACCAGAATATTGAATATTGAAACATGATTAATAGAACCAGAATGTTGTCAGATATCATGCCAGAAGATGAGCCCCTCGGGTTAGAAGGCACTTAAAATATGACTGGGAAGAGCTGCCTCCTCAAAGTAGAATTAGACAGCATTTTGAAGAATGGGTATCCCATAACACTTCATTGTGTTCATAAGGAACCTGTACATAGACCAAGAGTCAGTTGTTCAAGCAGAATAAGGGGATACTGAATGGTTTAAAATCAGGAAAGGTGTGCATTGGGGTTCTATCTTTTCAACATATGTATCAAATCTGCATGCTGAGCAAATAATCCAAGAAATTGGATTATATGAAGAAGATCATAGCATCAGGATTGAGGAAGACTCACTAATAACCTGTGATATGCAGGTGACACAACTTTGCTTGCCAGAAGAAAAGAAGACTTGAAATACTTAACTGATGAAGATCAAAGATTACAACCTTCCGTATGGATTGAAAATCCTCATCACTGAACCAATAAATAACAACATGAGAAATGGAGAAAGGATTGAAGTTGTCAAAGACTTCATTCTG